CGCCTCAGCCTCCCAAAGTGCTGGGATTACAGACTTGAGCCACTGTGCCTGGTGTTCCTTCATTTTAAAGGTGAAAATGATATCCCATTGTACGTACGTACCACATTTTGTTTATCCATTCCTCCATCAATGGACACTTAGGTTACTTCCACCTTTTGGCTATTGTGAATAATGCTGCTGTGAACATGGATGTACCAGTATCTCTTTAAGATTGCTTTCAGATCTTTGGGGTATAAACTCTGAAGTAGAATCACTGGATTTTATGGTCGTTCTAGTTCAGTATTCTGAGCAATCTCATCCTGTTTTCCATAGGACTGTTTTACACGCCTACCAACAGTGCACAGAGTTCCAATTTTTCTACATTCTCACCGAAATATTTTATTGTCTGGGTTTTATTTTTTTATTTATTTTGAGTAGGAGTCTCACTCTGCCACCCAGGCTGGAGTGCAGTGGTATGCTCATGGCCACCACAGCTTAGACCTGCTGGGCTCAGGTGATTCTTCCGCCTCAGCCTTCCAAGTACCTGGAACTACAGGCACACACCACTGAAATGAGCTAAATCAGTTAATAAAATTAAATTGCTAGCAAAATAATATTAACCAGCTTATTCCATTTTGTTTAAAACTTTTATCTTAGTTACCTGCCTGACCTAAGAATTAATGTCTACGTGTAATTACAGTAACGTTCCCATGACCACGGACCCCCAGCTTTGTCTCCTTTGGGCAGGTTATACTGACCATTGCCTGCTGACCGTTACAGAACTCCTTTGCCGTAAGTTCCATGTGATTGTATGCTTTGTTAACTGAAATCAAATGTTACGCTTTGACATTTTTATAGTTTGTTCTTATATTCTGTTAGTAACCTAATCAAGGTAACTCTACTGTATAATGATTTTTTTCTTGTCTCTATGTAACTACCTTAAACTATATTTTAATGGCAGAACTCCAGGGACTTTTGGGGTACTGGCTGTACCTAGGACATGAAATTAACCAAAGCTCCCTAACAATTAAAGTTCCCGTTTTGGAACTTAAGCCCGAGACCTGCTGTGACCTGACCCTTCCCGCCCTAGTTAGTTACCAGCATGTCAGGCAATCTGAACTTTTCCATGGCACCATTGAGATGGCATCCCTCAAAAGAGCAGCAGTTCCATTTTTTAGACTGTGAATCTTCACAATGATAATTCTGTCATTTTCATTTCAACTCTTGAAAATTAGGGTCAGCTCATGGAGTTGTTAAGCAACATACTGAATGTGAAATGACAACCCTCACATTAAATTTTCTGTTCAGAGCATTGAATGAAGATGTGGTTGGGTTTTCTCATAGTGGTTTTCTGATTTGGTTAGGCCATTGAAGAAGAGAGATTGAAAGTTGTTGCTAACAACTATCTGTTCATGTCTGCCTGAAAAACAATGACTATTTATGAAAAGTATCTTTGATAAAGCTGGATACAAAATAAATAAATAAAGCTGGATACAACTTGGCTTGGGAAAATAAAAAATCAGAGTCACGTAATTGTGACAGTTCACAACACAATCAGGATTAAAATCAGGACTTTAATAAATAAAGCTGGATACAACTTGGCTTGGGAAAATGAAAAACCAGAGCCATGTAATTATGACAGTTCACAACACATTAGGATTTAAAACATATTAACATGCAGAACAGGAAGTATGACCTGGGATTGGGAGACGAGTTTAAAGCTGCACTGTGAACATCTTCCTCTTCTAGTCCGGTTAGTCCCTCTAAGACTGACAAGTTGTTTGGTCTTAGAATGCTCCATTGGCACAAACCATTCATTGACTCTCAAAAGGAAAGATCACTCAAAATAAAACTGAAGTCTTCACGGTGCCCTACAAGGCTCTAAAGATTTTCCCCGTTAAGAGACAATTCTTCATGAAGCTCTTTCATTTTTGCACTGCTTTCAAGCAGAGGCACTGGCTGCCTTTGTTTGAACTATGTTTTTTTTTTTTTTTTTTTTTGAGTTGGAGTCTCACTCTGTCGCCCAGACTGGAGTGCAGTGGCATGCTCCCGGCCACTGCAGCCTCGACCTGCTGGGCTCCGGCAATCCTTCCAACTCAGCCTTCCAAGTAGCTGGAACTACAGGCGTGTGCTACCACACCCAGTTAATTTTTTTGATTCATTGTAGAGATGAAGTCTCGCCAAGTTGCCCAGGAGGGTCTTGAACCCTTGAGCTCAGGCAATTCTCTCACCTCCACCTCCCAAAGTGCTGGAATTACAGGCGTGAGCCACCATACCTGACAACTGGTGAACTTTTGCCAACCTGATGGGTGAAAATGGTATCTCAGTGAGTTTTACATTTATTTTTCATTATTTTTAAAATCTGTCAATATAGATATACCTAGATGCAGATGTATAGAGATAGAAATACATATATTTTCTTTATTTATGTATTCTGTAATATCTCTGTGTTCCATAGTATCTATATTTCTATTATTATTTTATTATGCTTAAGAGCTATTTTTAGTTCCTATGAGTTATCTGTTCTTATCCTTTGCCTATTTAGCTATTGTGTTATTAGTCTTTTTCATACTTCTTACTTGTCTGTGATGTGATTAAATATTTTTTCAACTTGTTACTTGTGTAGTGAATTTGCCTACAGTGTCACTGTTGTTTTTGCATATAAGTTTCTTATGTAGTTGAATCTGTCCACCTTTTTTGGTTTCTGGATTTTCAATGATACCCAGAATGGTCTTCTCCATTCCAAGATTATAAGAATCTATGCTTTCTTCTATTTTTCTAATACTTTTAAGATATCAGTTCAGAATACACAAGTCTTTGGAACTTATTTGGAGAAGTCAGTCAGTTGTGGATTCAACTTGTGGGTTTTTTTGGCTAGCCAATTGTCTCAATCCTTTTATTATTTATGTATTTAAATACACTTAATAGAAGGCCGGGCTTGGTGGCTCGGCATGTAATCCCAGCACTCTGGGAGGCCGAGGTGAGCCCAGGCAACTTGGTGAGACCTCATCTCTACAATAAATAAAAAATTAGCTGGGTATGGTAGCCTGCGCCTGTAGTTCTGGCTGCTTGGAAGGCTGAGGCAGAAAGATTGCCGAAGCCCAGCAGGTCGATGCTGGGGTGGCTGTGAGTGTGCCGTGACACTCTAGCCTGGGCAATAGAGTGAGACTCTAGCTCAAAAAAAACAAAAAAACACTTAATAAAAATATTTATTGAAAACAGGCTCTAAGCCAGGTGCAGTGGCTAATGTCTGCAATCCCAGCACTTTGGGAGCTGGGGGGTATTGCTTGAGTCCAGGGATTTGAGACTAGCCTGGGCAACTTGGTGAGACCTTGACTCTACAATAAATAAAAAAAATTAGCCAGGTATGGTGGCGTGCGCCCGTGGTTCCAGCTACTGGGAAGGCTGAGGTGAAGGATCACTTGAGCCCAGCAGGTTGAGGCTGCAGTGACCGTAAGAGTGCCACTCTACTCTAGCCTAGTAACAGTGAGACTCCTACTCAGAAAAAAAGAAAAAAAAGGGAAAAGAAAATATACTCTGGAAAAATCACTTTATGTGTACAACAATGTCTGCCTCACCCATTTTACAGGTGGGTACTCTGTGGTCTGGGGTATTTGTCAATTTGCTCAAGCCTGCCCAGTTGGTAAGTAGAGTTTGCAGCTTTCCTGATAATTTGCCTGCATGCTCCCTCCTTCCTTCCAAACCCTCCAAGCCCACCTGTGGTTGAGACCCTCCCATTTTGTGCATCCAGGCCCCTACCAGAGCTAGTGATCCGAAGTGTTAGCTCATACTGGGGCAACCCCGTGTCTCCATGATGCACACTTTGGGGTTCCAAGTCCCAAGGACACAGTCCCCTGGTTTAGACTCAGAATATGGCCTGACCCCTTTCCGTGTCTAAGTAGGATTCAAATTAAATGCCAAAGATCCCAGGATGAAAGGAGGGGAGAAGGTGGTGAGCTCGCCCACCCAGATCTCCGAGAGTATTGCTGGAGTGCCAAGTGCTACTTCGGTTTTATTTCTGCATGTACTTAGATCTACTACTGTGCTTTGTTCTTTTCCATTGGTTTGTTGGGCTTTTTGTGTACCAATTTTAATTACTGAAGCTCTATAATGTTTTAATATCTGATAGTGCTAGTTCCCCATTCCTCATTCTTTTTCAGATCCTGTTTGTTTCCAGGCTAATCTTATTTTTCCAAATGAATTTTAGGAATAGGGTAGTTAAAAAAAAACGACTAGTAGTACTTTTATTGGAATTATGTTAAATTAAAATCTTCATCTTTCCATTTGACTGTTTTCTCATCTGCAAAATGGGAGTAATAATACCACTCTTATAGGACTATCCGCAGAATTAAATGAGAAAATGCATGCGAATCATAGTGGGGGACAACACGTTCCTTTGAACTCAGCTGTACGAACCTGGGTTTGGTTACTAGATTATTCTGAACTTCAGTTCTCTCATCTGTAGATGGGGATAGTAACAGTATCTGCTTTACAGGGTTGTAACTAGGGTTACATGAGACGAAGCATGCAAAATACCCAGTGCACTGCCTGGCATACGTGCGCAATGACTAATAGGAGTTCTTCTAAAACACAGGCTACCCCAGGACAGGGAAAATGTGGCTTAAAGCAAAAACTTGGTGGGATGCACCTTAGGCCGAGGGTTCCAAGATCAAATCTTCTTTCCCAGGACCTACCTAACCGTCGGTCGCCACTTCTGATTTGCCCGGTGCCCCTGGGAACTCAGAGGGATTGGAAGACGCAATCCCGAGCACCCAAGGTTGTCAAGACTCCAGCACCCACCCCGCGCGCCGGCCGGGTCTCGGTATTGCCACGTCTCGCGCGGCCAGCAAGCCGTGCGCGAGCAGGCGGAGCCAAGTCGGGGCCCGCCCCCGAGCACGTCACGTCACGTCTTACGCCCGCCCCTCCGCGGACCGAGTCGCGGGTAGGAAGGTACCAAAGCAGAGCGGCGTGACGTTGACCAAGGGGCGGGGACAAGCACGCGCCCGGAAGTCCCGGGGGAGGGGCGTGACGTACATCCGGCGAGTAGCTGGCGGTCCCGGGTGTTGCTGGTTTGTGTTCTCTAAAGGAGGGTCCAAGCCGCCAGCCGCCGCCGGAGGAACCCCTCAGGCCGTGAGTCGAGGCTCGTGTCGGAGAAGGGAGCTGGGGTCTGAGGGGCTGTGAGAGGTCGGCTGGGAGGTCCGGGCGGAGGCCGGCCGCGGCGGAGCTGGGGGGGGGAGTGACACGCAGGCGATTCTGTGGGGCCGCGGGGCTGGTTCTGGGCGGGGACGGGCCGACTCGGCCGGGTCTGCTTCGTGTCTGGCTGGCTTCTGGGGTCTGGGTCCACCTGCTTTCCGCTCGGAGTCTTGGAGCAGCTGGGCTGGGTGACAATTTCCTTGTTGGTACTGTGCGCTCGGTTTCTGAAACGCCTTCATGCCCTCTGTCTCGGATGAGCCCCACAGTCTGGGTGAGGCATGGGAAGCCCTTTATTATCCCTATTTTACAGACTCAGGGGCTGAGACTCGAGAGGCCCCACAGTTAGCAGGTGTGAGCGCGTGAACCTGGTCCGCAGACTCCTAGTCCAAGGCTCCCCTCCACATCAGTTCTCGGTTCTCATCGGATGTCTGTCCTGGGTCGAGCCCCATGCTTTCTCCTACCTCTTTCTTTCCCTCTGTCTCATCTTTTCGTGGAAAAATTGCCTCAAGTGCAGTTTGACAGATTCGTGTTTTCTTCACGATCCTAGTCGAGGTGTTAACAGCACATGGGTGAGGGTCGGCACTAAATTGTCTGTTAGTGTTCTCCTATTCTCATGTTTTTTCATCTTTATCCTGATTCTATCTGCTTCAGGTGTGGCAGGGGCTTAGGGAGATTTGCTATGGGGTTGACAAAAGCCAGCTGCCTGCTACCCCCGATCTGTCTGGCCTGGTGTCTTATAGTTGCTCTCAGTGTGTATAAAAACTGATGTTTTAACTGGCTAATGGTCAGATTGGTGCTCTTTCTTTTGTTTGTTTGAATCAGTTAGTCCTGAAATTTGCAAGTTTTTATGTTTTTATATTAACAGTGTTTTGTTGATAGTTTAGAGCCTTGAATTTTAGAGTAACGAAACTTGCAGGAAATTTTGTGGTCATCCCGCCCCAGCAATTTTGTGATTTGTATTTGTATTTTATATGCTACTAACAGAAAGAGCTTAGGCTTTGGTGTTAAAAGATGAGGATTTGAGTCCTGGCACTGTTACTTTTTCAGCTGAGCAGTCTTGGACAAGTCAGCAAACCTAGGAGTATCGGCTCTTCATCTTATTAAATGAGGCCAGTGATGCCTGCTTGGTAGAATTGGTGTGAGGATGTGCAGGTACTGTATAAATTGTAAAATTACTGATGAGTTAGTACAGATCCTAAGATCTCAAGGAGAGAGGAACTATCAAAGCCATCTTTTTAATTTTGGGTAGCAATACAACCCAATTCTTTGGGACTAGTAAGGATTTTTGCTATTTTTAACCTCACTTGAAGAATTTCTTCAGTCACTCTCCATAGATCACTTTGGAGGGAAGAATTTTTTTTTTGTTTTCACTCTGTCGCCCAGACTGGAGTGCAGTGGCCCCTCCCGGCCACCGCAGCCTCAACCTGCTGGGCTCCGGCGATCCTTCCGTCTCAGCCTTCCAAGTAGCCGGAACTACAGGCGCGCGCTACCACGCCCGTCTAATTTTTTGATTTATTGTAGAGATGAGGTCTCGCCAAGTTGCCCAGGGGGGTCTCGATCCAAAGGGCTCCCAAAGCGCGGGATTACAGGCTGAGCCACCAAGCCCGACTGGAGGGAAGAATTAAAGGACTTTTAAAGTAGAGGTGTTAAGGGAAAATAAATTGATAAATTAAAGTAGTTCAATTGCCATGAAAATTATTTAAAGTGTGAGATTTTTCCCTCTCACTTTTGCAGAATTAATCTGGTTGGGTGTGCTTCTAAAGTGATGTAAAATTTTAAAAAGAGTCTATAAAGTATTGACTGCAAACCAGTGTAGTACACGTGTATAGAAGTGTTGGGTTGTAAAGGAGTGATCAAAGTGAAAGTGACCCTAATAATAGGTGCTCTCGAAAGGTAAGCTGTGCTTCTTCAAGTGGTAGATTGAGAAAAGTAGGAAAGGATGTCTGGTTTGGGGGAGTTGCAGAGGAAAGGCACATTGTTCTTTTATGTATTTACAACAAATGGGAATGTAAGCACAGGAGCCTTATAAATGTGTTTACGTTATTGGACTTCTTAAAGTGCAACCTAAGTTTCCAGGCAAAACTATTATTTAATGTGTTGAATGCCACCTGTCTTTCTGACAAAATATATTTAAATGCCACTTTCAGGGCAAAAACCAAAAACAAACCAAAAAACATCAGTATCTTTTCATAAAAGCTTCGTATGTACTTCCACCCAAAGTTCCAAGCTTTATTTGGTTCTGTATGGCAAGAGCCATGAAAAGTAAGCCTTAAGTGGGTCATAAAATGTATAGGTCAGGCCATGGGCCTAATGAAATCAATTATTAATTGGATAAAAAAAGTAAAACCTGTCTCTGTTTTTCAGTTTACTCTTCATTCTAGCATTCTTTGAATGAATACAGGGGGATTTTTGTGGGTGGCCCTTTTACTGGTTCCTGTTCTTGAAAGTTTTGTTTGATTGCATTTGAACCCATCTAGTACAATGTCTTGTATCTAAATGTTCCTGCTGACGCTGAGAAGTAAAAGCGGGGATCTTCCTTTTTCCTGTACTGTATCTGAGCTGTTGAGGCAAAAATTCAGTGTGACTAGGAAATGCTAGGAAACCTGAAGACCCACTGAAATCTTTATCCTCCCCTCTTAGCATCACTCAGAGTTCCTTTTGCTTATCATTATTTGTTTTATCTAGTCCTGTGGGGAACAAAACAAAAAGTCATATTAATTTCAGTACTAATTAAGATATGCACTTACTTAGGAAACTATTGCTATATTCTGATCAAGTCCTTTTAAGAAAATTCATATTTGTAAAGTATGTTGGGTTTGATTATTTGCATAATGAAATGATTCTCTTCTTATCCCTGCATGGTTCTCTAAGATAGTGTTATCTCTTTTTATAAGTTGAGATACATATCTGCCAAAGGGGTAAAATAAATATTGTTTAAGAAAAAACAGCACTGGTAAATGGAGCAGGGCAAATTGTGCCAGCCAGTAGGATTTTGGATGACTTTGGTTTTAGAGCTGTTTATAAAGATAGGTTAATATGCTTTCCATTCAGGTCAATATGCTTTTCGTTTTCATTTTCTACCGAGAGCATCTATACAGCATTTTGGTCCAGATTATTGATGAAACTGATCCACATGATTGATGAGACTGATTTTCTAGAGGTGTTGCTGACTGGTGGACAGCAGTGGTGTATCTGTAGGGAGTGTGAGTGAGCTGCTGCCTGGAGGAATGAGTCACACAGTAAAAGAAAGTACAGGCATACCTCGGAGATATTGTGAGTTCAGTTCCAGACTACCACAATAAAGTAAATACCATAATAAAGTGAGTCACACGAATATTTTGGTTTCCCAGTGCACATAAAAAGTTATGTTTACTTTATACTGTGGTCTGTTAGGTGTACAAAAGCATTATCTTGAAAAACATGTACATACCTTAATTTAAAAAATACTTTAGCTGGGTGTGGTGGCTCATGCCTGTAATTCCAACATTTTGGGAGGCGGAGGTGAGAGGATTGTGTGAGTCCAGGGGTTCGAGACCATCCTGGGCAACTTGGCAAGACCTTGTTTCTACAATCAATCAAAAAATTAACCGGGCATGGTAAGTGTACACCTGTAGTTCCAGCTACTTGGAAGACTGAGGCAGAGGGATCACCTGAACCCAGCGGTTCGAGGCTGTGATGGCCATGAGTGTGCCACTGCACTGCACTCCAGCCTGGGTGACAGAGTGAGACCACTCCAAAAAACAAAATACTTCATGCTAAAAAATTTCTAATAATCATCTGAGCCTTCAGAAAGTCATCTTTTTGCTGGTGGAGGGTCCTGCCTCTGTGTTGGTGGTTGCTAACTGATTAGGTTGGTGGTTGCTGAGGGTTGGTTAACTCTGGCAATTTCTTAAAATAAGACAACAATGAAGTTTGCTGCATTGATTGGCTCCCCTTTTCACAAAACATTTCTCTGTAGTTTGTGTTGCTGTCTGATAGCATTTTACCCAGAGTAGTCCTTTCAAACCCTGCTGCTCCTTTATCAAGTAAATTTGTGCAGTATTCTAAATGCGTTGTTGCCATTTCAACAGTGCTCAAAGAATCTTCACCAGAATAGATGCCACCTCAAGAAACCAGTTTCTCTCTCTTCTCTAAGAAGCAACTCTTCATCCATTAAAGTTTGATCATGAGATTATAGTAATTCAGTCACATCTTCAGGCTCCACTTCTAATTCTAATTTTCTTGCTGTTTCTACCATTACAGTTTCTTCCTCCACTGAAGTCTGAACCCCTCAAAGTCATCCATGAGCAGATTCTTCCAAATGCCTGTTTTTTGTTATTGTTTTATTTTGTTTAGAGGCAGGGTCTCACTCTGTCACCTAAGTTGGAGTGAGTGCAAGCAATGATACAGTCATAGCTCACTGTAGCCTCAAACTCCCGGGCTTAAGGGATCCTCCCGCTTCAGCCTCTTGAGAAGCTGAACTACAAGCATGTGCCACCACACCTGGCTAATGTGTTAATTTTTAAAAAAATTATTTAATTACAACTATTTTTTTTTTTTTTGAGTTGGAGTTTCACTCTGTCACCCAGACTGGAGTGCAGTGGCCGGTCCCGGCCACCGCAGCCTCGACCTGCTGGGCTCCGGCGATCCTTCCGTCTCAACCTTCCAAGTAACTGGAACTACGAGCACGCACTACCACGCCCAGCTAATTTTTTTGATTTATTGTAGAGATGAGGTCTCACCAAGTTGCCCAGGTGGGTCTTGAACCCGCAGGTTCAGGCAATTCACTCACCTCAGTCTCCCAAAGGCGCGGGATTACAGGCTGAGCCACTGAGCCTGGCTAATTTTTTTTTTTTTTTTTAGAGTTGGGGTCTTGCTGTGTTGCCCAGGCTGGTTTTGAACTTCTGGCCTCAAGCAATCCTCCCTTCTTGATTTTCCAAAGTACTGGCACAAAACTCCTGTTAATGTTGATATTTTGGCCTCCTCCCGTGAATCATGAATGTTCTTAATGGCATCTAGTAGGGTGAATTCTTTCCAGAAGATTTTCAGTTTACTTTGACCAGATCCATCAGAGTATTCACTAGGTATGGCAGCTACATCCTAATTAAATCTACTTATTTAAATAAAAGTTGAAGTTACTCCTTTATCCATGGGCTGCAGTATAGGTATTGTTAGCAGGCATGAAAACACCATTGATCTCCTTATATATCTCCACCAGAGCTCCAGGGTGACCAGGTGCATTGTCAGTTAACAGTAATATTTTGGAAGGGATCTTTTTTCCTGAGCAATAGGTCTCAACAGTGGGTTTAAAATGTTTAGTAAACCATGCTGTAGACTGATGTGCTATAGGCTGATTAGACTTAGAATAATTCTTAAGGGTTTTAGGATTTTTGGAATAGTAAATGGATATTGGCTTCAACTTGAAGTCACCATTAGCCCCCCTAAAAAGAGAAGTCAGCTTGTCCTTTGAAACTTTGAAGCCAGAGGCCAGGTGCAGTGGCTCATGCTTGTAATCTCAGCACTTTGGGAGGCCAAGATGAGAGGATTGCTTGAGCCCAGGAGTTTGAGACCAGCGTGGGCAACAGAGTGAGACCTTGTCTCTACAAAAAAATCAAAAAATTAGCTGGTTGTGATAGTGTCCCTGTAGTCCCAGCTACTTGTCTCTACAAAAAAATTTTTAAAATTGCCTGGATGTGGTGGTACATGCCTATAGTCCTGGTTTCTCCAGAGGCTGAGGAAGAAGAAGTGCCTGAGCCAGGAAGTCAAGGCTGCTGTGAGCTATGATCGTTCCACTGCACTCTGGTCTGGGCAAGAGAGTAAGACCCCCAACTCAAAAAACAAAACAATACTGTGAAGTCAGACATTTACTTCTCTTTAGCTGTGAAAGTCCTAGATGACATCTTCTAATAGAAGGCTGTTTTGTCTACATTGAAAATCTGTTGTTTAGTGTAGTCACTTTCATTAATGATCTTATCTAGATTTTCTGGATAACTTGCTGCAGCTTCTACATCAGCACTTGCCTTTTTACCTTGCACTTTTATGGTATGGAAATGGCTTCTTTCCTTAAATCTTATGAACCATCCTCTGCTAGCTTCAGACTTTTCTCCTGCAGCTTTTTCTCCTCTCTCAACATTCATTTAATTGAAGAGCGTTAGGGCCTTGCTCTGGATTAGGTTTTGGCTTAAAGGAATGTTGTGGCTATTTTGATCTTCTAACCAGACCTGTCATATTTTCTCCATATTAGCAGTAATGTTTCACTTTCTTATCATTCATATGTTTACTGGAATAGCAGTTTTAATTTCCTTCAGTAACTTTTCCTTTGCATTTATAGTTTGACTGTTTGGTACATGACGCCTGGCTTTCAGCCTGTCTTGGCTTTCAGTGTGCCTTCCTCACTAAACGGAATCATTTCTTGCTTTTGATTTCAAATGAAAGACATGCATCTCTTCTTTCACTTGACCACTTAGAGGCCATTTTAAAGTTATTAATTGGCCTAATTTCGGTATTGTTGTGTCTCAGGGAATAGGGAGACCCAGGAGAGGAAGAGATGGGAAAGGTCGGTCAATTAAATTTGCAGTCTTCTATGCGCAAGGTTCAGGGCACACCAAAACAATTATAATAGTAACATCAAAGATCCCTGATCACAGATCACCATGACACATACCAGGGATATTCCCCAAAACCAGAATTATCTTTTGGTGGGTGGGCCCCTTTGTAGTACAGGCGTCCTCCTCTGGAAAAGTGTTCTAGGAACCCATCAGCATCAGTGTACCAGCTAGTGTTGTTGTGAGAGGCTGCGTTTGGCTTCAGTGAATTTTTTTTGGAGATTCTTTCAGTGTGTTTGCCCCTTTCATGATGGTGATTTATGAACGCCACTGCCCACACTGTGCTGAGTGTTCAGCAGTTTTTGACCCAAAACGGCATGACCTTTGTGCCCCACCCAATCTTGTCCCAGCAACTTTTTTGTTTTCCTGGATTAAAAAAGTTCTCAAAGGGAAGCATTTTGAGAGGTGAAACAAAAAAATGACAGAGGCACTAAAAGGTATCAAAATTGACAAGTTCAAAAAACTGTTGTGAGCAGTGGAAAAGTGTCTCAGTAGGTGTATTGCATCAAATGGAGAGTACTTTGAAGGTGACTGAAGTTTAAACAAGTAAGAATAAATACACAATTTTAAAATAAATTTCAGGTTTTTCTGCGTCTCCCCTCATATAAGAGTATTGAGAAAGTTTCAGATATTGTGAAAATTACCAAAATGTGACACAGAGACATAAAGTGAACATGTATTATTGGAAAATGACACTGAAAAGATTTATTCACTGCAGGGTTGCCACAAACCTTCAATATGTAAAACAAGACAAGACAATATCTGCAAAGTGTAATAAAATGAGATATGCCTATATATCTTCAATTCTTCACTAATTCTCTGGGTATCCTACGTTGAAAAGTATTAGACATTTGTGCAGATATGAGAATTCTAGAGGCTTCCTTCCTGGTCACAAAATCTGTAAGTCTTAAGAGGGAAGGATCGTCTTTGCTTTCTTATGCCCAAAAATATGGGACTGTACATGTGCATCAGGATCAGGGAATAAAAGTTAACTTCTCCAGAACTGTCCTGTCATTTAAAAGGCTAATATTTGCTACTTTCATGTTTTTTACAGGCAGTAAGCGTTAATAATGTCTTTCATCTTTGAGTGGATCTACAATGGCTTCAGCAGTGTGCTCCAGTTCCTAGGTAAAGCCATTTCCCCGAAATATAGTTTCAAACTTTGTGCATTTCTTTCAATAATTTAAATACAAGCAGCCTTTGGTGTTTAGAGAGCAAATATGTTAACAATTTTTTTCTCTTTTAGGACTGTACAAGAAATCTGGAAAACTTGTATTCTTGGGTTTGGATAACGCAGGCAAAACCACTCTTCTTCACATGCTCAAAGATGACAGATTGGGCCAGCATGTTCCAACACTACATCCGAGTAGGTTTGAAAATAACCAAGCAACCTTTTGATCTTTCAAAGTCAGTGTCAGGTGGGAAGGATGAATCCCCAGTTGATGTAATTCTTTTATTAACTGAGGTCTCAAAAGCCAGCACACTTGAAAAAGTCCCCTGCAGGACACACTCAGGTCAGATATTCGTAGACCTAAACCTCTGGAACTTTGTTGCCATCTTTTGTCACTGGTCCTGTAATTGAGCACATCTCCAGTACCTACTTTTAAGAGCAGAAAACACCTTGAAGAAAAACTTCAGGCTTGTAGAATAGTTTAAAAACATTTTCACTTTATATCCTTGCTACGTTGCCCATGCTGGTCTCAAACTCCTGAGCTCAGGCAGTCCTCCCATGTCAGCTTCCTGAGTAGCAGGTTTGTGCTACCATGTCCAGCTTTTTGTATTCCTTTCTTTATAAGATGTGAAAGCTTTACTAATATTTGAATTGATACTGGCTTACAGTACTAATAGTTGGACCTTGCTGGATTGAGAAGTTTACTTCTTTCCTTTTTTTTTTTAAATAATTTTTCAGCATCAGAAGAGCTGACAATTGCTGGAATGACTTTTACAACTTTCGATCTTGGTGGGCACGAACAAGGTAAGAGATGACTCAGTGGAAGCATGGTATTGACTTATGGTTCATTTTGAGTCCCCCCTCCTTTTTTAAAGCCTTGTGTCATTTTTACCTTTCAAGTAACTTGGATTACGATCTTATTCAATAAAGTTGTTTTATTCACTTATTATTTTTAAGTAATTTCAAACTAGTCCAAAGTTGCATAAAGAAGACACTAGAAGTCCACTCACCTATACCTTTTGCCTATAGTATCCCCTTTTCTCTATAATATATACTAATTTTATTTTTTCTGAACCACCTGTGAGTATATCATGCCCTTGTACTGCTTAGTACTTTAGTACCTATTTTCTGTGAACAAAGATATTCCCTTAAATATATAATCCTAATAGTTATCAAATCCAGAAAATTTTCTTTTTACTTCATACTGTATGTTCCTTTTGTCAGTTGTCCCAATAATGTCTTTTATAGTCTTTTTTCTTCTTGAACAGGTCTAGTACAGTATCATGTATTATATTTAGTTAACAAGACTCTTTTGTATTCTTTATTCAGTGGAGTTTATGTAGGAAATTAACTTATTATTTGTAAGTAATTTCATACTTTTCAAAATTTGCAAAAATAACACAGTAACTACATGTGATCACTCTGATCTAAGTTGATATTTTGAATACCTATTTGGGACAGTTGGTGGAACATTTTCTTTTACTCCTTTGCTTTCCGCATAAGTAGTTTTTGCCTCCGGCTATGTGTGGTTGGTTTCCAGATTTCTGTTAGTAATGTGTCTCATGTGTTTTAGAGACAAACCAAATGGGCATCTTTATCTGATAAACACTCACATTTACTTTGGGCAAGACTCTGAATAAGAGCAAAACGTTTAAGATGTGGGACTATTTTGGGAAGGTAGGGAAAATAAACTATTGAGATTCTGTCAAATTTACTCATTTATTATTAAGTTGAAAGGTCTCCTTTGGGAAGTATATTAGATTGAAACTAATATAGTTTATAAAAACTATATAGTTGGCAGAGTGTGGTGGCTCAAGCCTATAAACCCAGCACTTTGGGAGGCTGAGAGCATTGCCTGAGCCCATGGGTTCGAGACCAACCTGGGCAACTTGGCAAGACCTCATCTCTACAATAAATAAAAAAATTAGCTGGGTGTAATGGTGCACACCTGTAATCCCAGCTGCTTGGTAGGCAGAAAGCTCACCTGAACCAAGCAGGTTGAGGCTGTGGTGGCCATGAGCATGCCACTGCACTCCAGCCTGGGTGGCAGAGTGAGACTCCCACTCAAAACAAAACACTATATATATATTTAAATAGAATATTGGTCATTTCTAATTGCTTAGCCTAATTTTATAGTCAGTGGCTGCGTTAATTATATATATGTTGTACGATTATAATCACATTAAATACCTGTAAAGGAACAAGATTGGAAGAAAACATACCAAAACATTAACAGGTGGTGTGTTTTGATGGAGGGATCATAAATTGTAGCATTATTTTTATTTTGGTAGGTATGGATATATAGAATGTTTTCTATTTCTTCCACAAAAGGATTTGTAACTGCTTACAAATTAAAATTCCGAGCAAGATAAGACTGAACCAAGACCATCTGGAGAATGCAGACGGAATAGACACCAGATGGTTTTAGATACCTGAACTGAGAATTTTTAGATTATATAGTGTGATGAATTTAGCTTCCTGGTTTTGTTAAAGAAAGAAGGGAAATGTGTTGATGTGTTTAGTTTTGTTTTGTTTAATTAACTGAGGAAAATTATTGAACAGAAACACTTTTACATAGTAACCTAGGTAGCATTTTATAGAAGTTACTAAAATACTGTACATCTGGAGGTTTTCTTTTTTATCTCTATAACTTTAAATTTTTAACTTATAAAAGCAGTACAGGTTTAATGTGGCAAAATCAGCATAGACATATAAAAAGCAAAATTGAAAGTTTCCCTGACCTTTCCTTCCCAGTCCCACTCTTAAGAGGTAACCATTATTAATGGATGTAAAGAGGCTTCCTTTTTTTTCCGTTGCAAGGACTAAAATCAATGGCTTAGAGATTATAGTATAATTAAGGCACTGTTCCTCAACCATTATCATTTCATGTCAAAAACCAAAGAAAGTAACATTTATTTATAAGGCATGCTGAGTTAAATATGGGAGGCCGAGGTAACTGGCCTGGGTGCTTCAACCACCTGTCAGACCCAGTCTTTCTAAGGGTTGAATGGATGAGTGTGTCAGCTTATCTGCACATGTGTTGGCTGGGAACTAACTATGTGGGGGCTAAAGCTATACAGACAAGTAATTTGTATCCTGATGTTTTAAATTCAGAGGTTGCAAACCAGAATTGGCTCCCAGAGTGAGGCACGTCATTTAAGTGAGTAAAGTTGGGTGTAAGACAGTAGGGAGTGGTGAAAATTCTGGCAAACTGAAGAGCTCAGATATCATCTAAAGGGTCAACCACCATTCAGTTCCAGCTGATTATTGGCAAGTAGGTAATTAGGCATGGGATTGCCAGATGTTTCAGTTTCTCAAGGAAGACAGAAACTCTGATTTTCAAATTTACAAAAATCAGGTTCGGCTTCTGGACCATCAGTTTGCATCCTCTGTTCTGACTTGTTACCAGCCAGGACTTGGAAAATCCAAAGGGAGTGTAATCTTACTGGAACCTGGTCAAGATATGTCCATTCTGTAAACTATTAATAATTTTATAAATATATATGTATTTTTAATTGATGAAACTATGTATAAACTTTGTCTTTTAGCACGTCGGGTTTGGAAAAATTATCTCCCAGCAATTAATGGGATTGTCTTTCTGGTGGACTGTGCAGATCATTCTCGCCTCATGGAATCCAAAGTTGAGCTTAATGTATGTTTATATATATATTTTTCCTTTTTTGGTCTTTATTTATGTAAGGAATACAGTTCAGTAGTTCCAGTACCTAATTATTACAGTTAATATTTGATGAAAAGACCTAGTTGCAGCAAGAAAATGTTTTAAAATCTAAGCCAGTGCTTTTCACTGTCCTGAGGAAACTCATCTTGACTGAGTTCGCCTGAGTGGCTATATGGCCCAGGTTGCTCTGGACACTCCCCATTTATGCCTGTTGTTCCAGCACGTATCTTGTGTAGTCACTCTTTAAAACTAGTGTTGGCATAGTGAAAACCTAAAGGAGTTATGGAGTTCTCTATACTTTGAATCTGTGTTCTCAAGTTGTGCCTACCCACCCTCCTGCTAACTGACTTGCCAGACCTTCCCAGTCTGTTCTCAATCTTTAGTTTTGGTTGCATGCATCCTTTGATACTATCAAGGACTCACTTCAGGTTTTCTCTTTTGTCAGCATTGCATTTTCTGGGCTTGATGGTTTCTATAATATTGCCTTTGTTATCCCTATTCCTCCACCCTGTATCTCTTCTTTCTCTTTGATTTGTAACTGTCTCCCTGCATTTTGTTCCTGGCAATTTGAACCTATCTCAGATTTATTTGTAAGTATGTTTCTTACATCTATTGCTCTGGTCTCATGTAGGATTGCCTGCCTGACAGTCCTTACCTTACTTGAGCTCTTGGCACTGGCCATTCTCTTTCTTTAAACTCCATTTAAACACTCTTGATTTTGGTGGTATCTCTTTGGCTATTACCTCTGAGTCTCTTTCACAAGTGCTTGTTCCTCTGCTTAGCCCTTAAATGTTGGTATTTCCCACGGTCTATAATTTCTCCCAGGCTGTTCTCATCTACTCCCATTCCTTCATCTGGCACCTATATGTCAGTGACTCAAGTAGATTTCCCTCCTCTAGACCACTTCTGTTCTCCAGCCTCATACGAAATGCTGTTTACTAGACAACTTCACCTCCTGATTGTTTTTGTCGAATGAAACTATTCATCTGTCCCTATTAGCTACCTGGACATTCAGCAATTTGATTCCACCATGACATGCAGTGTCATTAATGCTAGAAGGAACTTTCTCAGACTTGTCATTGCCCTGTTTAATATCCTTTGATAGTTCTCTATCACTTTCAGGATTTTATCTACCAGTCTTTGCATAGCACATAAGATTTTTCATGATCCTCCCCCTCTGTTTATTATAGCTTCCTTTTTTTTCTTCTTTTTTTGAAAGCAGTATTTATTAAGAGGACAGAAAAGCTCCCACAGTGGGAGAAGACCTGAAGGGGCTGCCCAGCTTCCTTTCTTTTTAGTTTACTTTGACTATATTCCAAACATAGAGGACAACTTGTCCTTCCTTGAATATGCACAAGTAGTTATTCCTGCCTGACCTTTTCACCTGTATCCCCCCCCACCATTTTGCCAGTAAATGTTAAAATGTCCTTTAAGGGGTCTTAAGCCACTTCTATAAAGCCTTCCCTGACTTCTCAGCCTAAGTTGGACTCCCACCTTATCAATGTCTGTTACCTACTGATTTTTTTTTATAGGTCTCTCCCACCAAATTATGAACTAACATGGTAGGGACCGTGTTTTATTTATTTGTGAAACCCCTTCACCTAGCGAAGCATCAGTCACATTGCTTAATGAATGAATGACATTCTTACTCTGATTTTAGCTGACATTTCCTAGAATTCAAGATGATCAAAGCACGTTCCCCTTTATCCCTTCAATTTTGCTTTCCTTCCTAGCTTTCCTGTTGGTGAGAACTAGATGCCCCAGGCTTGAAATCTGTGGCAGCTTTGACTCTTTTGTCTATTTTATCATTTAGACATTGAACTTTTCTATCTTCAAAATGCCTTCTGCACTGTTCTTTAAATACTCTACCTTGGGCAGGATCGTCATCTCTTACATGAGCACCACAGATAGATACTGCTTATGAATTCTACTGAAAACACAGATTTTGTTCACTAACTTCTGGATTTGTGGTCTTTAGAATCAAATGCAGCTAACTCCACACTGGCACATGATGTTATCCCTTCCCATCCCATTTACTCTGTTGCTGCATGTCAATATAAATGCTTTAATCTGGCCAGGTGGTGCTTTTTGTGGCTTCCTGAATTCTTATCCTCCTACAAAGCCATTGTTTATGTTTTCCCTTTTCCTTTCCACCTATCCAAACCCTACCCTTCCTTTAGAGCCTGGCTTAGAGTACAGATCTTTTCTAAGACTTTTCTTAAGCTCAGAATTGCCATTTTATTTCCCTTGATTTAGTCTTAATAGTCTGTTCCCATTCGTTGTGTTCCCACTCATTCATCTACTGTGTTGTATTTTTACCTAACTTTGCTAACATAAATATGAACATAGAGTGAGGATTTCTTGGGGACAGAGATGTGTCTTATCCTTCCTTTTATATCCCTCTTAGTGCCTGAGATGGTTCTTTGCACACATTTCTGTAGTCATCTTTGAGGCTCTGTAGCCAGAGCATTCATTCCTCTAGGACTGTGTGGAAGGATATCTGAGATAGTTTGTAATGGAGCAGATTACCTTAAAAATCAAGGATAAGCCGGGCTCGGTGGCTCAGCCTGTAATCCCGCGCCTTTGGGAGGCTGAGGTGAGTGGATTGCCTGAGCCCGCGGGTTCGAGACCCGCCTGGGCAGCGAGACCTCATCTCTACCATAAATCAAAAAATCAGCCGGGCGTGGTAGCGCATGCCTGTAATTCCGGCTACTCGGAAGGCTGAGGCGGAAGGATCGCCGGAGCCCAGCAGTCGAGGCTGCGGTGGCCGGGAGCGGCCACTGCACTCCAGTCTGGGCGACAGTGAGACTCCAACTCAAAAAAAAAAAAAAAAAAAAAAAAAAATCAAGGATAGGGCAGTTCTGCTACCTTGTGAATAGACTGATAAAAGGCCAGGTGGCTCATACCTGGAATGCCAGCACTTTGAGAGGCTGAGGCCTGGAGTTTGAGAGCAGCAGCCTGTGCAATATCAAGAGACCCTGTCTCTACCAAAAAATGCCTCAAGTTGCATTTATTTTGAGGCAGTTAGGGGGTTTTTAACCTAAATTTAAGGGTGTTACTTAATGTCAAGATGGCACCCTTGATTACTCAAACATGAAGATGATCAGATTTTACAGTTATTGCCTTTTAAGATTATTTTAGGGCCGGACTTGGTGGCTCAGCCTGTAATCCCGTGCCTTGGGAGGCTGAGGTGAGTGGATTGCCTGAGCCCACGGTTCGAGACCCTCCTGGGCAACTTGGCAAGACCTCATCTCTACAATAAATCAAAAAATTAGCCGGGTGTGGTAGTGCGCGCCTGTAGTTCCAGCTACTTGGAAGGCTGAGGCGGAAGGATCGCCAGAGCCCAGCAGGTCGAGGCTGTGGTGGCCGGGAGTGGCTGGCAGAGTGAGATGCCAACTCAAAAAAAAAAAAAAGAAAAAAAAAGATTATTTTAGGCCGGGCTCGGTGGCTCAGCCTGTAATCCCAGCATTTGGGAGGCCGAGGCAAGTGGATTGCCTGAGCCTGTGGGTTTGAGACCTGCCCGGGGCAACTTGGTGAAACCTCAGTCTCTACAATAAATCAAAAAAATTAGCTGGATGTGGTAGTGCATGCCTGTAATTCCAGCTCCTTGGAAGGCTGAGGCGGAAGGCTCGCCGGAGCCCAGTGGGGCGAGGCTGCGGTGGCCGGGAGCATGCCACTGCACTCCAGCCTGGGTGCTAGAGTGAGACTCCAACTCAGAAAAAAAAAAAAGATTATTTTAAGATTAGTGTAAGTCAAAGTTTTCATTGTCTGGTGGACTTTTTATCTTGTCTTTAGGCTTTAATGACTGATGAAACAATATCCAATGTGCCAATCCTTATCTTGGGTAACAAAATTGACAGGACAGATGCAATCAGTGAAGAAAAACTTCGTGAGATATTTGGGCTTTATGGACAGACCACAGGAAAGGTAAGAGGAGAATGTTCAGGGGACATAAAGAACAATCACGGCTTTTAAACATCTTTTGCTATCTAGAATCTCCTTTTCTTTCAAAAGTTTAAACAGGCTTAGGATTTGTTTTACAGTGAATATTTTGTAATTTCACTGGAGGCAGGGACATTTTCTTGAACAGTTTTCTAATGGGATTCATTCCTCAGGTATTTGAGGAATAAGGAAATGGTAGAAAAACTAAATTTACTCTTTTAAGAATTTATAATTATCTTTCAAATCTGAGTCTGAGAAATCTCTTTTGAAAGAAGCCTTCTTAGCCAGAAATAAATTTTTTTTTGATTGGAGATTTCAAGTTATGAAGAGTGGTCATCTATATCACTTTCTGGGCATTGAAATAAAAGTACTTGATTATCCCCAGTGCTTCTTGCCAAGAGAGGTGGAACTGTTGGGCCCGTTTTGATGAGGAAACAGTGATTTGTTCAGGTCTACACAGCAGTGCAAAACCAGTAATAGAGCTTGAGTCTTTCGGAGCAATAGGTTATGCCATTTTCATTTGGAAGGAGGACTCTTATAGAAAAGCAGGCTTGTGTGAGAGAAAATCTAGGTCAGGCAAAGTTAAGCAGGGATTCTTCTGGTCTTTTCAGCTCGGAGTTTCGGCATATTTAATTTTTAAAAATCTGTTTTGCAATCTGTGATAACTTTCTGACTTTTGCACATAGTTCTTTAGTCTTGCCTCTTATCTGTTTTTCCAAATTATTTCTTCAGTTCATTTAGTTTCCCTTTTTTTGTATAAGTGTTACTTAGGGTCACATGAATCCTTAATTTCTTCAGTGCCACCTGTTATTTTGATTTTTGCATGCTTCTGTTATTGAGAATGTCCTTATTTCTAAACAGTCCCAGATCCATCAAAGAGCATGCTGGTTTCTTGGGTCCCAGTGGCCTTTTTCTTGGTTTGCTGCCATAACTTCCCAGGTGAATGTTGGGTGTTTAAAGCAAATGCTCTTCAGAGAAAGAGAGCTGGGTATAGAATTGTGCTACTTATTCTAGCCTTAAAGCAAGAAGTCCTGGGGATGTCATTTGTATGGCCTTGACCACATTTCTGTAATTAATACCTTCTTAGATTTGTTTTTAGGGAATGGGGAAACTGATTGTAGTGATGACCCTTTCAAGCTTTTCCACCACTGAGATTCTAACAGGCCTTTCTTGGTTTGCCTCTTCTAGGGGAATGTGACCCTGAAGGAGCTGAATGCCCGCCCCATGGAAGTATTCATGTGCAGTGTGCTCAAGAGGCAAGGCTACGGCGAGGGTTTCCGCTGGCTCTCCCAGTATATTGACTGATGTTTGGACAGTGAAAATAAAAGAGTTTTACTTCTCTGGACTGATCCTATTCACAGCTTCCTCATGAACTTTTCTGATAGAACAAGGAAAGCTCTCCAGCCATGTCTGGTGTTGAGAAGCCACGAGTCTCTGTCAACTCTCATTGCCCAGTGGTGACATGTGCTCTTCTGAAGCCACACTGTTGGGAGGTAATGCTGCCCCATGTGCTGGTGCAGGTCAGTATCCCGGGACTTGGAAGCTGGCAGGATTTGCCGGGTAAAGCTGTGTGCCATCATGGGGCACCTGAAAAGAAAAACACGTCTCACCACTGCGGTTGATTTCAAAAGAAAGTGATTCTATTTTTTAAAGAAAGTGTTGTTAATGTAATTGGTATCCCTCCTAACTTTTTGAGTTCACAATTTACTTGGTCCAGAGTTTTCTATTTTTTTTTTAACTAATGAATGACATTTAGATACTTGATAAAATTATGAACAGTTAAACTTGGGAGGCCAGAGCACAGTTGGGTGAACTTACTCCTGCTGAGTAAGCAGGTTAGTAAGAGATACTCCCCTGAGCTCACCTGCTTCTGTAACTGCCTTGAGTAGGTGGCATCACCTTGTGCACAGACAACTAAAAAAGGGGCAGAGCCCTGGCCTTGCTGTTGTGGCAGGTTTCCACTGTGGTAAGCTAGGGTCACTCCTCATCATGGAAATGTGTAGCAGATTGCTTGCTGCGGAGAAGTCTCTCACAGAGTGGGTTACTGTTATTTTTACTTATAAAGTTAGAAATTTCAGCCAGTTTTTGCTTTTCTACTATTGTGAAATTTCTTTCTGCAGTACCTTCCTTTTTCATTTTCAGTTATAAAAAGTGACTTTCACCCCATAAAAGAGTTCAGAACATCTCCCATGTTGTCACATACTGCCGGTGTGTCTCATTTACTTTTGAACAGATTCTAGGGGAAATTTTTTCTGATAGGGTACAGGACAGTTAACAGTTTAAGGGCTCCTAATTCTAAGAACTGAAGACTTAAAAATCTGGTATTGCACCACTTGTTTTGGATCTAGGAAAGATGAGCCAGTGGGCTCTAAAATTCCTATTTGCAGAGTTTGCCCTCATTGGGCTGTTCATGAGTTCTGTTGTTTGCTTACATCTTTTCTCCTTGTCAGTTATCTATTTCAGTGATGTTTAAAGTAAAGATTAACATCTGTAGTTTTTTTAGCTTTTTTTGGTATGAGTTAACCTTTTCCAGTCCAGAAATAAGCTGGAGGAAATGCTAGCCCAAAAACTTTTGAGTAGAGTTGTTCCTTTGGAGGTGGCTTCGACTTACTGTCAGTAAACAGTCAGTGTAAAAGCACCAGCACCCCCACTAGGGTGATGAGGATTATTTATATAGCATTCCATTTTCCTAGTGCCATGTGTGAAATTGGATTTCCATGATTTTAACCTGTTCTGTACCCATCCTTGCAGTAAAAGATTAAAGATTAAAGGATAGGAGATGAGAACGTATCATTCTTCACTTGGGTTTCTCATTCTTAGTCTTCAGTTTCACCTGTTGGGAAAGCAGACCTTTTCACTGCCAGGTATTGAATGCAGAGGCTTAATGAAGTTTATCTGGGAAGTGCATGTGTTTCATTTATTAGCAAGCATAGCTGGTTTGAGACACAATTGTTGGTTTGGAAAGGGGTTAAAGCCTTAAGTGAACAAATCTAGCTAACAGTGAATGAACTAGGTAGTTAACTTTAGTGCTTTTTATTTCCTTTGGTTAAAGGTTACCCATACTTCTCTATTCAGAGATATGAGAAGTATGATTGCTTCAGTGTTAGATTTCTTTCTTATTTTTGTTTTGTCCTATTTGTCTGTAGTCACTTAGTTGCAAGCTAGAAAACTGTGGGTTCTATATAGGACTACTCTTTGTGAAAGTGGTTTATTCCACTGGAGAAAGAGGGGATTGAAAAGTCAATTAGAACCAGTCTGTATTTTGCCCCACAACACCATTCCCATAATGAGATTGCTGAACGAGGCTGCTGTGAGGAGTTCACCTCCAAGCACAGAGGATCAGAGCCTTGTGCAGGAACTCCCAGAAATTGAGACTTCTCATTCTGGTTTATCAGAGTGCATATATGGCCTATTTTAGGAAAAGTCAAACATTCATTTACAAAAGAAAGTCAATCTGTATCCTAAGCATTTTAATAAAAAGTTAAAACAAAATTGCTATTTTCTTTCTTCTTGTTTTTTTTTTTTGCATTGGTTTGCTCTGAGTTTGAACAATGTCATTTGCTTGGAGGTGAGTGGGTGACCAATATTTCCTTGCATCTAGGAAGAAACTTTTAGGGTGGATCCAAGATGCTTGAATTTTTTGCCACGGGGGATGTGGGGCTAGGCCACTATAGGTAATAGATTTGGAGAGCCTTTAGGACATGCTGTGGACTCAGGGTTGGTCATCTCTGCAGCAGGATGGTGATAGCAGATGCTTGAGCAAAATCTCATATTAACGTGCTTGCAAATAAATAGAATAAAAACATGCTAGCAAGTACTGGGTCTGCTTTAGCTGTGTTTCACTTACCATTTTACACAAAGTTGGAGAGAGTGAATTGAAGTAGTAAAGTAGGGGAAGGAATCTGTGCTTGTGCATTTACTGGGATTGTAGGAAGCATTTCATTTTTTAAAATTTAAAAAAATTTTTTACTGTTAGTAATGTGTTCAGGAATGTGCAGGAGTGCTTGGGAAGCCTTTCATTTAGAAAACCCCAGTGGCAAAAAACTAAAGTACTGAGACAAATAGAATGGAAAGTAAAATGTAACAGGTTGTTTTCAGCCACATAATACATTATTGGAGGTGTCCTGTTGTCTCTGTTACTATGAAAGGATGTCATGGGTTCTGTGGGTACATGGGCTTGTTTTGTTTGAAGCAAAGTGGAGCATGAAGATTAAAGGCTCAAAGAGCCTGGTACTCAAGGCGTCTCATTTTGGCTGTTGCTGGCTGTGACTTGGGATTTCTCTGTACTGTGGTCTGCCATAAACACAGAAAAACCTGATGCATGACAGTTCATGCTGGAACTTGAGCATCATTAAGGGAGAATCACCGGGCTCTACAGAGAAAGAAAGTCTTAATTGTTAGGAAGTTGGGACAGTTAAGAAATTTGCTGTGATCAAGCCATCTTCTGTCACAGAACCAAAAGAAGACTTAGTGCGTGCTTTGGCAAGACTGCTTAATTTTAGTCCTGCCTCAATACTACCGTGCATAATCATTTCCTTTTCTTAAACTGGTTTGTGTCACAGAGTACTAGAAACATTATCCTATATTGTGCTGGGGCTACACCAAGCAGCAGTAATTTTATTCACATAATTCAGGCAGAAAGGTTATGGAATTTAGCAATTAATATTTGTAAGTTAATGCTGACATAAATGTATACTATAGTGATCTTAGTAAGAATTAATGTGTGTTTAGTGGTACAGTGATAAATCAGACCTTTGTGAAAATGTCTAGTTTGTGGTGACTACTTTGTGGGGTATCGTGGTTTCCCCTTTCCCCAAACATACTTGCTCATGCTGTGTCCTAAAGGATACTTCTTTGGAAAACTAAAGAAGTTTTATGTTAGCCTACATTAAAGATGGCAAACTATGGCTTGTGGACCAAGTCTGGCCTGCTTGTCTGTGTTTGTATGGCCTATGAAAGCTAAGAAAGGTTTTTACATATTTAAATGGTTGGAAAAAATGTTATTTTTTAACACGCGAATTATACGAAATTCAGGTTTCAGTGTCTACAAAGTTTTATTGGAACAAATAGAGTTGTGTATTTGAGACAGACTGGCCCCTAAAACTTGAACAATTTCCATTACGGCCTTCTACAGAAAGTGTTTGGCTCATGACCTAGATAAATCCTGGGATGGTTACAAATGCCATTATGTGAAATGTGCATAACTGCAAAATACAGGGCTGTATGATTAAAAATTTTGACTTCTGTTCATCATAGTCCATTTAAAAGGTAATTTCGAGTTTCCATGAGGTTTGTCCTGTTGGGGTTTGGGCAGCCAAAGGTCTTAGGAGTAATCGTGAGAGCTCCATGACCCCTAGTGGACTGCTATAGGATTTCCTTCCAAAATTCCAAAATACTGAATCAGCCGATGATTTCTTTGGTCGGTCTTATCCCAGGGGTCAGAGGCTGAAGGTCGCCAAGATCCGGGCAGGGGCTAACAGGCATCTGTCAAGGCCTGGGGAGTGTAGCCACGTCAGCGATCATTTCTTTCCCGTTCCTTCAGCCCAACAAACGGAAGAGACGAGGCTTGAAGGGGCCCGCCCTCTTCTCCCCGCATGTCCCCTGACGCCGCTCTCCTGTCACTCTCTCGGGTCTCCGCCTGGGCGACTGGTGCTTCGACCCACAGTTGGATGAACCCAGGAGGGCGGGGAGAGAGAGTGGGACTCAGCAGCCAACCAGGACTCGGCACAAGCCCAGCCAATCGGGTCGGGCCCGTTGGGACTGGGCCAATCGGGCTCGACCAGGAAGACCTGAGTCAGAGCCTGCGCCTCCGGCTCCCGGCCGTGGGTGGCGCGGTGCGGGCTCGGCCAAATCGGGCCGGGCCAGGCCGGGCTCCTGGCTCGCCGGCTCGCGGGCTCTCGGGCTCTCGGGTGACCCCGGCTGTCAGGCCATGGTGCGGCAGTGGGGGCCCGCCATGAGGGCGGCCGAACAGGCAGGCTGCGTGGTGAGCGCCTCCCGGGCCGGGCGGCCC